ATAAGATCAAGGGAAATTCTAGGAAAGCATAGAAACTACTAGCATAATGCTGGTAGGATCCTAGGAATCACTCTTTGAGGCCTTTCGTATCACACCTTGGGTTAGGCTGCATCAGACATCCTAGCAAGAAACACATGCTTGCTGGAGAAACCAGTTACATGAACCAACATTAATTTTTCTAATAGGACCATGCATTTACTATCCCCAACAGGTTACTTTGGACAGACATTCTTTATTATAGGACTACGTATTTATCGAGCACATGAACCCTGACATTAAAATGTCTTGGTTGCTGCTGTAGACTGCCACCCAACATTATCCATATGCCAATTAGGGCTTTGGTTTTTGAGCCCTCCTTGCTAGGCCTTTGGCGAACTTTTGTCGGAAACTGCCACTTACGCCCTACATCATTTTTGCTGAAGTAGGTATACATTATTTATAGTGTCAGAATCAGCTAGACTGTTCCCTTTAAGACTTGGAGGCTGGACCAGTTAAGATGGCTGATAAAAGCATAAATTTGAAAGAAATACTTTTAGGATAAATTACCATAGAATTGAAAAAAAATTGATCCATGAATTAATCAAGTTTTTTATTATTGGCTAATTTTATCTTTTACTGTTGCTACTAGGTTCCTGGGGCAGAATCACTTGTAATTAGAGTTGTTTCATCAGTTGACAAAAAATTGGAAGTAAAGCAGCGGTTTCTTGAAATTTTTCAGGAAGAAAATTATCCAACAGAGTTCCCATATAAATCTAAGGTTGGGAAGATATTCAAGGCTTATCTGATAATAGAATGGGTTACAGGGAATGGTTTCAATATGCTAATTACATAATTTTTTGTCTAGGTTGTATTATTGTTTCAGAAAATTGAAGGTGTAGAAGTATGCCTATTCGGCATGTATGTTCAAGAATTTGGAGCTGAATGTCAATTTCCAAATCAGCGCCGTGTATATCTATCGTATTTGGATTCTGTTAAGTATTTCAGGCCCGAAGTTAAAGCGGTGACGGGAGAAGCTCTCCGCACATTTGTTTACCATGAAATTCTCGTGAGTCCTAGGCTTTCACTAGTGTTGTTATTCACGTTATCTGTGTTTTCTTTAGTTTGATATGTTATCTTGGAGCTTTGGCCTTAGTTTATGATTCCCTTTCCAGATTGGATATCTTGAATATTGCAAGAAACGAGGGTTTACAAGCTGCTACATATGGGCTTGTCCTCCTTTGAAGGGCGAAGATTATATTTTATATTGTCATCCGGAAATTCAGAAAACACCAAAATCAGATAAGCTTCGTGAATGGTGAGCTTATAGAACTTTGTGAATTGGCTTGCTGTTATTACTAGCATCAAGTATTCTGTTTCATACTTTTCGTTTTCTATCTCCCTGTTTCTTTCAGGTATTTGGCAATGCTCAGGAAAGCTGCCAAGGAAAGCATTGTTGTTGAACTCACTAATCTATATGATCATTTCTTTGTTACTACTGCTGAATGCAAGGCTAAAGTCACTGCAGCTAGGCTGCCTTATTTTGATGGTGACTACTGGCCTGGTGCAGCTGAGGATCTGATTTATCAGATGCGTCAAGAAGAGGATGGTAGAAAACAGAACAAGAAAGGAACAACCAAAAAGACTATAACAAAAAGGGCTTTAAAAGCATCTGGTCAGACTGATCTTTCTGGTAACGCGTCAAAGGATCTGCTACTAATGCACAAAGTAATTTTATAGTCTTGGTCTTTCAACTGAGTTATTATCTTCAGTCTTTATAGCTTTTGCTGTTAGATATTCAGAGTTCTAACATCTAATAAGCCCAGGTTTTTAATTGATTCTAGTAGCACGTTCACTTAGATTTATGAAATCTTATTATAAAAGAATCAGTCTATGAAATCATCTTTAAAAAGTTTAATATATGAAGGCTGTTCAATGTTATTAGATTTAATTGCACTTGGTGCTGACTTTTGTATTTATGTTTACCCAGCTTGGTGAAACCATTTGCCCGATGAAGGAAGATTTCATCATGGTTCATTTGCAGTACGCGTGCTCTCACTGTTGTATACTAATGGTATCAGGAAACCGTTGGTCCTGCACCCAATGCAAAAATTTTCAGCTTTGTGATAAGTAAGATTCAATCTTGCATTTTTCTGTTACCTCCTTCCCCTGTAATAGCTTCCTAATACTATATTAAAGTTTGTTTGTATTACCCCTTTTACCATATTATACATGCAATGCTTTCTTGCTCATTCATATACAACTGCATTGTGTTTATAGTTTGTTTATAGAAGAATGGGTTAAGGCCCCTTGTATAGTTGCTAATTGAGTTCAGGGTTTTGTTAGAATTCAGACAGTTTGAGCAGTACTCTCCTCGATTATGAAAAGTTCACTTTTTCCGTGCTGCTTCTATTCTTGAAGTTCCTCACTTAATATTTCATAATCCAATTTTATCTTTCTTTTCTGGAATTGCTGTTGGACTAACATTTACTAATTTCATTTATTCTGTTTACTTTACATGGGACCACAGGTGTTATGAAGCAGAGCAAAAGCGGGAAGAAAGAGACAGGCACCCTTCCAATCAGAGGGAAAAACATGAATTGCGTCCTGTATGTGAATTGTCCTTCCCTTCAGTTATCATGGCTCTGCGAGTTTCTTATTTTCTCTCTTTTGAACTTTTTTTTTCACTCAATGCTGACATCATCATATATTGCAGTTTGACATTACTGACGTACCTGCTGATACAAAGGACAAAGACGAGATTCTTGAGAGTGAATTCTTTGACACCAGACAGGCATTTCTCAGTCTTTGTCAAGGGAATCATTATCAGTATGATACTCTACGGCGGGCTAAACATTCCTCTATGATGGTCCTTTACCATCTTCATAACCCAACTGCTCCTGCATTTGTGACAACATGCAATATATGTCATCTCGACATTGAAACAGGTCAAGGTTGGCGTTGCGAAGTTTGCCCTGAATATGATGTATGCAACAATTGTTATCAGAAGGAAGGAGGTGTAGATCATCATCATAAATTGACAAATCATCCATCCATCGCTGATCGTGATGCACAAAACAAAGAAGCTAGGCAAATCCGAGTTTTACAGGTGCTTTATATATGTTTTTTCCTTATTGAAGACTTTTTTTTATCAAGTTTTTTCCTCATTAAAAATGGTCACAGATTTCAGTTACAACACTACCCAGTAAAAATTTCCCATTTATGTAACCAAGATGATGTGATTCCCTTCTTGAACATCTTTTCTACGTTTCTTTTCACTCCATTTTATGACTTAAAATCTTTCCAAAATGTATATGTATTTATAAGTTTTGTGTTCCAGAGGTTTCCTGCAACTTTCTCAGCCTTCATTCACATCTTTCAGAGTCTATTATTTATCTCTAGCTTCTCTAGAATGTTATTACAAAATGACCTAAGATGATCTTGGTATTGCTTTGTTTTAATAATAATTTTGCTGTTGTGTTTTCTTAATCATGCCGAATATGGGATTTAGTAGTGGAGGAAAGGCTTCGATGCCAATGTATCCTGAGTTCGAATTCTTATAATTAACACTTTTTTAATTTTGCAGCTTAGGAAAATGCTTGATCTTCTGGTGCACGCATCGCAATGTCGTTCAGCACAATGTCAGTACCCTAATTGTCGTAAGGTGAAGGGGCTTTTCCGCCATGGAATTCAATGCAAAGTCCGGGCATCTGGAGGATGTGTTCTCTGTAAGAAAATGTGGTATCTCCTTCAACTTCATGCTCGAGCTTGCAAAGAATCTGAGTGCCATGTGCCACGCTGCAGGTTTGTGGATTAGTTTTTTTGTATTAAGAGCTGTCAATTAATCTCCCCTAGTTCTCTCTCCTGATTCCCTTTTTTAAAGAAATATATTTAATACATGTGCATGCTTTCAGAGATTTAAAGGAACATTTGAGGAGGCTGCAGCAGCAGTCTGATTCACGAAGAAGAGCTGCTGTTATGGAGATGATGAGACAAAGAGCTGCCGAGCTACACAGCAATACTGGGTGACCAAATTGTAAATATAGAAATGGATGTTTTGGAGAAGGAGAACCTTCGGACAGGGCAATAGTTTGCTTGTGCTCCGCTAACACACTACCGGGAGCCAGGCGGTGGCAGAAAAAGTGGGGTGCTTAGACGGTTAGAAGGGGATAAGCATTACAGTACGGTATTGGTTTACATTCACTTTTTAGGGAACAATTTTTTTGTTTCTTTTCTCCATGACTGAACTCTCCCTAAGAGGAAGACAGGTGAAGTTCATCAACCAGAGCTTGCCCTCTTCAACAGCTGCTAACCATGCCTCCAGTGTGAGCGTGCAGATGTGTGGCCCGATTGGTGATTCTTTGATTTTATCCTCTTGTAATCTGTCAAATGCCATTTGTTAAGTGGCAAATGTACTATAATTGTTCTAATCTATCTTAAATGGTTTCTTACAAAGAAATGCGGGAGGGAAGTTAGTTTCAGATTCTTGTTTTTGTCCCTTCTCTCCCTTTTAGTATATTATTGACCCTTTTTGTAGATTGTGCTCTTGTTAATGGAAGGAATAAGTAGCTTCTTCAATACTGTTTCAGTTCATTCTCACCGACATTGGATTTCATGTTCATATATTGTTCCCAAAATTATTAAATTGATTGTTAATTGTTGGCTCTCTCTCTCTCTCTCTCTCTCTCTGATAGTGTTTAAACAAGTCACTGATGACAAAGCAAACGAAATTGCATTGGTATTTAAGGTTTGTTTCTCTCCACTTAACCCAAAGCCAAACCAAGTACACAACCCAACCGTTGGCTGGCTGCGTATGCCTGCCTGCCAACAAATGAAAGGAAAATTGGACCTCTACGTGTCCCTTTTTGTCTCATAACTTTCAAACCTCAAATTATGTCTTGTGGATGTGGTGTGTGCTGCAAATTCCATCCTTGTCTCTCAGATTTTGATATGTCATCAAACTCAAAACACCAACCATTCATTTTCCCTTTTTACAACTATTTATATGTTTTATTTTTATTTTTATACCAACTTAAAATACCCAATTATCCAATTCCAAAATAGAAAAAAAAACATTAAGAGCAAAAACCTTGTACTGAATATTCATAAACGGCTTGTTCCTTGTGCTTGCCTTGTTGGCGCTAAAACCATCATGACCGTCGCTAAAGCCGTTATTAGCTCGAGCTTGAGCAATAGCAGCAGCAGCAGTAGTAACACTAATATCACGTACCAATGGGGCGGCCAAAGATGTTGGAGACCCATTTCTCTCCCAATCCCAAAACCCAACTCCCAGAACCTGACAATCACCACCAGAAACCGCTCCTCACTAATTCCCAGGGCATCTGGAGCTCCCTCTGAAAGCAACAATGGCGGCAGTAGCAGCAATAAAACCAAAACCAAGAACAAAACCATTGATCCTCCTCCGTCTGCTTCTTCTTCTGGTAACGAGAAAATTGATACCAGTAATAAGATTCAAGAAGAGCAAGAGCAGAAGCAGAAGCAGCAGCGGAGATTGGACCTGGAAGATGTGAACCCAGTTGGGCTCGGTCGAAGATCGCGCCAACTGTTTGATGAAGTGTGGCGCAAGTTCTCTGGACTCGGGCAGATCTCGAGAACCAGTCGTGCCGATGAAAGAGACGCGCTTGACGCTCTTCTCATCAGGGAAGGACCCATGTGCGAGTTCGTCATTCCCGGCGCCCAAAACACCACCGTTTTGGTCGTCGGAGCCACTTCAAGCATTGGCCGCATAGTGGTCCGCAAGCTCATGCTCAGAGGCTACACTGTTAAGGTGTTCATTTCTATCGAAGTCTTGAGATTCTTGATGCTTTGGTTTTTTTGTTCATTTGGTTTTTGGGTTTGTGGGTTTGTGGGTTTTATTGTGTGTAATGGGGTGGGTTTTGTGATGGTGACTTAGGCTCTGGTGAGGAAGGCTGATCAGGAAGTGGTGGATATGTTGCCGAGATCGGTGGAGATTGTGACTGGGGATGTGGGTGATCCTGCTACGCTATACGACGCCGTACAAGGCTGTAACAAGATTATCTATTGTGCTACTGCACGCTCTACTATCAGCGGGGACCTCTACAGGGTTGATAACAGAGGGGTCTACAACCTCACCAAAGCATTTCAGGTAAGAACCATATCCTCCAATTGCTTTTTTTTTACCAAAATTAAGCCTTTTGTGTGATGGTTTGTCATCTGATTGGTTCTATGTTTGAGCTTATGGATTGGTTCATGGTGGATTTGAATTGGCACTCAGAGAGTTGCTTTGGGTGAAGCTGATGACTCTGTGCATTGCAGGACTACAACAACAAAATGGCGCAATTACGAGCAGGGAAAAGTAGTAAGAGCAAGCTTACAATTACAAAGTTCAAGTCTCCAGAGTCGGTTGATGGATGGGAAGTTCGTCAGGGGACTTACTTCCAGGATGTGGTTTCTTCCAAGTATGATGGAGGAATGGATGCTAAGTTTGAGTTCACTTTTACGGGAGATGCTGTTTTCTCAGGTAAAGAAGTCCTCTAATGGGCATTTGGATGCTAACTAACAACTGCGTAATAATTGTTTTGACTCTGTTCTTTGCTCCATTGTAGGATATGTTTTCACCAGGGGAGGGTATGTTGACCTGTCGAAGAAACTTTCACTTCCTTTGGGTCGTACTCTTGACAGGTATGCCATATTTGCATTCTCAAGCTTATTAGAAGCTGGTTATGGTAGATTCTGTATAGAAACATCCATTACCTAAACTGCTATGGCTTATCCACTTCCATTATCTATATTTCCAATATACAGGTATGAAGGTCTAGTTCTTTCTGTTGGTGGGAATGGAAGGTCTTATATATTAATTCTTGAAGCTGGTCCATTAGCGGATACATCTCAAAGTAAATTATACTTTTCTAGATTCAGCACAAAAGCAGGATTCTGTAGGGTAAGTATCTATTCACTGTGTTTCTTTTGGGTATAGTTGCAATGTATGCTGTCCCTAATTCTCGTAATCTGTCATTGGCAGGTCAGAGTACCATTTTCATCATTCCGCCCCGTGAAACCAGATGATCCACCATTAGACCCATTCCTAGTACATACATTAACCATACGTTTTGAGCCCAGAAGACAGGTTTGTTCATTTTCTGCTCGTAAGAGAAGTTGGTAAATTTGGTTCATATGTTTGCCCCTTGCTGCCTTGTTTCATAATTTAAATGGATAGGTGATTTTTACTTGCATTACTATTTCTTGTACAATGTTGGGGAGGATAATCTCCCATTTGTTATTCTAATCCAAATCACTTATTCTAAATCCGCAAACCCCAATGCAACTTAAAACTATTTTTTCCAACATTTGTTGAAATGCTTTTCTGCTCGTCTTTTCTGAATCTATTTATTTTTTGTGGCACAGAAAGCTGTTGAATCACGTACAGGAGTGAAGCAAGACCCAAGAAGCTTTAAGCTTATTCTGGAATACATAAAAGCTTTGCCAGTAAGTCTTTAAATTCGAGTTATGCTGATTGTGCTGTCAGTTTATGTTCTATAATTCTAGTTATGTTATGTTCTGCTGTGTTAGAACTCTCTCTCTCTCTCTCTCTCTCTCTCTCTCTCTCATAACCAAATAGATTCACATACATGTCTTTTGCAAAGGAAATTTCTACATGATGAAGTCACTTAAAAAGTTATGCATTATTCATTTGAAAATCTCAATGCCAAATAATTGTTTAACCCTTTCAGTCTTTCGCCATATCAAAGTGACAAGATAGGATGTACCAGAGAACTTATAGTCACTTGACTATCAATGAGATTCTTGCTAATGGTGCTAGGTTTTCACATTTACATCATAAGAGCCATTGTCTTGATCAATGTCGTAGTAAACCAAAGTCATACCCTTTCAAAACTGATTGTTCTTCCAAATGAACCCATTTCTGATAGTCCAAGTTTGAGGAAATTTTTTTCGTCATTTTATTAATGACTGGTGTGCTGACATTGGCATCCAATGACCATATATGTGGAGCCTCCTTCGTTATTGGCTTGCTTGAAAATTATATTTGCTGCGGTTTCCTGGAACTTTCCCATTTGAAGATTATGCAACTACATATTGAGTGTGGTTAATGAGATGGAACAAAAAGTTGAATTAGTGTTAAGATATGGATGGTACAGAACATGCATAATGATGTGTCGTGTATATAGGATTGCATAAATATATTCACGGCCTTAGATAAATTTGAATGGGATGTTTTGCAGACTGGACAAGAAACGGACTTCATTTTAGTTTCATGTACGGGATCAGGAATAGAACCAACTAGAAGGGAGCAGGTTCTTAAAGCCAAGAGGGTTAGCTCTTTTTTTTCCTATTTTTCATTTGATTAAGTGTGAAATTTTTATTATTATTATTTTTTCCAGATGTGTCGTCTTTTTTTAATTTTAGATCTTATAACATAGCTAATTCATTCAACGTTGAAATTTCTCCAGGCTGGAGAAGAGTCATTGCGAAAATCAGGGCTTGGATACACAATCATTCGTCCTGGTCCCCTAAAGGTGGAGTTCTTACTCTAAAATTCATGGCTTAGTAATCATTTGGTAATGCTAAATGACATTACGCATATATATAGGTTCTGTTTGTTGAAGTTTGTAGAATGGAGGCGTACTTGGAGAAGAAGAATATGGAAAAATGTTGCAGAGAAAAGAGAGAGACGTTGTGAGAGAGAGAGAGAGAGAGTTTGTTACTCAGCTCCAATCATAAGAATGCACACATCCTCACACTGATTTCATTCCAACAGAAACATTCCTTTTACAAGGCAGAGAATGTGATCTCAGCCATACAATTTGTGTCAGCAATATGAGCTGTACACTTGGCATAAGCTAGGACATATGAGACCTACACTCTAGGATTAAATCTAAGCCTTACACCTGTCTAGCTAAGAAATTAAACCAGGAAATAATTTACATTTCAACACTGTTAACAGCTGATTTATCATTTCTGCTGCAAAGCACGGGCAATGTACTTTCACTTTTTGTTCTCTTTCCATCTGATGGAAACCAGTTTGGTTTATACAGGAAGAACCAGGTGGACAACGTGCTCTCATATTTGATCAAGGAAACAGGATTTCTCAGGTTAGAATGATCGACTTTTAAAAAACCTTGCTACAGCTACTAATTGAAATCTTCTTGAATCCCTTTTCACCAGACGATAAAGAGATTTATCTTTTGACTTATATTAACGTCATTGAACATCTAACCTCAACTACCATTTCTAAATTAGGGGATCAGCTGTGCTGATGTAGCTGACATCTGTGTGAAGGCATTGCATGATTCAACTGCAAGGAACAAAAGTTTTGATGTGGGTGACAATCTATTTGCCTTTACTATATTACTTTCAACTGACATATACTAAACTGGTCTTCAAATTTTCTAGGTATGCTATGAATACGTTGCCGATCAAGGGAAGGAACTTTATGAGCTGGTAAGGACCATTAAAAATCAATCATCAGATTCTGTATATAAAAAAGAAATACATATCCCTTCTTTTGTATGTAAACTTGTAACCACTTGGATTCTCACATGCCTATTCCCTCTGCAGGTAGCACATTTGCCTGACAAAGCCAATAACTATCTGACACCGGCACTGTCGGTTCTAGAGAAGAATACCTGATCATGCTGAGCATGGATGATGTACGTTAGTAAGATAAGAGTACATTTGTAAAGCTGCATATAGAGCATATCTTTTTATCTTCGCAACCCAGACACAGGCAATTGTCTTTCTATAGCGCTCGTGAATTGCTGTAAAATTCATATGTCGATCCCCAGATGGGTATGAATTTTTCATTGTCATGAATCAAGTCAAAAGTGTAAATAACAAGCACTACAATTACATGCTTAGAAAGCTCAGGTTCTGATTAATGGTGACAAGACACGAAGATAGAAGTAAACAGTGAATGATTTGAGGTAAATGGAAGTTAAAACTTTATGTTATCTCATGCAGCCAGCAAGTAGTGGGTAGTGGGTCAACCACTTTCTCCACCTCAAAAAGAAAACACCAACGAAGATTAAGAAGAATATGTATCGATTTTAATTTGTTTTTTGATTTTTTGTTTTGTTTTTTGTTTTGAATCTGAACTATAAATGAATAATAAAATATATAGACAAGGACACTAATTTACAATCGAATAGAATATCAAATTGTCAAAAAAAAAAAAAAATAAAAACAAAGAGTTCTATATCCACATTTTTTTTGACAATTGGATATTCTATCACTTTTATATAAAAGGTGGTAAGAGTAGGATTATTGTTTTTTGAATGATATACCCACTCGGATTCCGAGCCTCCGCATTTAGCATCTACGCATAAATGCGGATCTAAGCATTTACACGTATTTAAAAAGATCTTAACCATTTAATTAATCTAATGAATTTGATCAATCCATGTCACAATAATTGTATTTGAAAAAACCCTCACCCCTTTGCACCGTATCCTTTTAGTCTAATACCAGATTAGTGTCTTTCCACACAAATTTGAGCACAAATCTAAAACTCAAATATGAATTGGCAGACCAAAAGGCATAACATACCAAATTTTCCTAAGAAAAAAAGAGAACAATTGAATTGGCTTAATGGGTAATTCCTTAATTCTTTCTTCACTGCCTACTTAAATTAGAAAATTTATTGAATTTTTGGGATAATTGAACAACTTGGGTTTCTGGGCTAACTCCTTAATTATTTCTTCAGTACCAATGAAATTTGAAAATGCGTGGAATTTTGTGGACAGTTTCTTCATCCATCGTGGTTTTGGGTTGATTCTTGGTCCTTCATGTTTATCATATTTCTTCTAAATCTTCTTTTTATATACAAAAATTCGATTTAATAAACATACTCCAGTTAACAATGGAGGGCCAACAGGCATGAGAGAAAGGAGGGGACACTTTGAATGGATAAGTGAAAACGATAAGGTGCAATGGGTGATTGTTTAGTCTAATACAATTATTATGACGTGGACAGATCAATTCCATTAGATTAATCAAAAGGTTAAAATAGTTTTAAATGCGTGTAAATGTGTGGATGCTAAATGCAAAGGCTCGGAATCCGTCTCGTCCTAATAAAATAACAAATTGTCAAAAAAATAAGACATCTATCCTTCCTCCAAAATCCTGCCATTATTTTTAGGGGACTTTACCATATAAAGACAAATAGGAGAGCATGAAGACAAAATGGTAAGTGCCTCCAAATAAGAACAAGCAAGTCCAGTTATTATGACCATGCCATTATCCAACAGTGACATTGACCATCTCATTCTTCGACATTGACATTGACCATGGTGCATTTTGTTTGTTAAAATGATTGGTCTCTAATGGAGTTTTTTATTCACTTTTGTACACTTGACATAAAAAGAAGAATTGCGAGGAAAAACATAAAATAAAATGAAGGAACAAAAAATAGATAGTCTGCCCAACAGTGGCATCCAATAGATTATTATTCAAGAGTGACATCCATGAATGTTACATTTGAAGTGGACCAACATATCAATTAGTTTCCTTCGCTCACACCAAAAAAGGATATTTTCAATTGCTTGTATTAATTTAACATTTCAAGGTCAGAAAGGGGCCATTTTTTATTATCTTTAACCGATTATGAGTTATGACCTATTTATTTTCGTAATTTTTATTTCTGCATATGTTTTGATAAAAGAAGGAATTATGGAGCCGCCTTTATATCAAGGTGGCTCCAATACTGCAAATATGTCGAACAATAGGATGTCGTGGGGATTCGAACTTGAGAACTATGGTCTGCAAGCCAAAGCCATTTTCACTAGACTAAACACCATTGACTATTTTATTTTTTTTGTTTTGTTCTTGGTTTGGAAATGATTTGGAATTGAATTGAAAGCCTTTTTTTTTTGGTCTTTTGTGCAAAGAACTGGAGAAAAAGAAAACAAAAAAAACCAATGTCACCTAGATGTTTGAAGAGGGCAATTTCATTTTGATTTTCCTTAAACTTTTCACATATTTCAAGTTAATATTACTCTGATTTTGCTTTAAAAAAATGTCCAATAGTTCTTCTTATTTGTGTTTAGATGTTTTTTGGTATACTGTTGAGGATCAATTTGACATTACAAATGTTTTTAAGTTGATATCAACGGGTTGAGTAATGTGAAAAGAAAAACAGAAAAACCAGGCTATTATTCATAGTAAACTTTTGGGTTATTCGCAACAATGGTCCCTTAACTATACTCCAAGTTACACTTTGGTCACTCAACTCAAATATTAATTGCAGAGGTCACTCAATTAGGTGTTTTGTTGCACCGTTAGTCCTACCGTCAAGTCTGTTACTTTTTCTGTTTAAAATGATGATGTGGCAAGCATCTCTTAGATTATTTATGGGCAAATGTGACTTTTCAGTTAAGATTATTTGTAGCAATGATCCCTCAACTATACTAGGAGTTGTATTTTGGTCACTCAATTAGGTGTTGTGTTGCACCATTAGTCCATACCGTTAGAGAGACTTGACGGTAGGACTAACGGTGCAACAAAACACCTAATTGAGTGACCTCTGCAACTAATAATTGAGTTCAGTGACCAAAGTGTAACTTGGGGTATAGTTGAGGGACCATTGCTGCGAATAATCCTAAACTTTTTAAAGTAAATTGTGAATATATGCAATCACCTGCAAACCATGCGTGTCAAAAATTACTATCATTCCTACAATCATATTGATCTTTTTTCTATATGATGTGAAAGTTTAAGTACTAATTAACAATGAGGGTTGAAATCCAAGATATGTTAAATTTCAATTCCAATGGTAATTAATCCCAAAATCAAAACGGTAAAAGCACCCTAATTCCAAGTACTAATAAACACTACTTGTTTGTCACATGAACACATATCATGATGAGGCCACAAGAGTTGACACGTAGCACAGAAATGAGAGTCTTGGCACAGCCCCATCTCACAGAGGCTGAAGGGATAAGGAAAATCTGAGAGAGTAGGCTCGCTCTCTCTCTCTCTCTCTCTCTCTTCCTCCCACCCCCACCCCACCCCCCCACACACACACACACACACACACACACACACACACACACACACACACACACACACACACACACACAGAGTCAGTTGCACTCTCTTCCTCTTAAATGAGCCTACCAGAAAAACAGGTTTCAGAATCATAGCACTTAAGATGCTAATTTATGGCCCAAAAACTCCAACCCTTGTCAATAAAATCCCACAGCCCTTTGGAGGACAAGTCAACATTAGCACCAACAAGATTAATATAGCAAATGACATCAACATCAGATTCAGAAGAAGCACTTGTCATCTCCCCAGAGCCACCACCAGCACCAACAGCAGCAGCAGCAGTAGAAGCAGAAGCATTCTCTTAGCAACTGCAGGCTTGCTTGCAGCTGCTGCAGTGATAGGTTCAGCTTCAGCAGCAATGGAGTCTCCTGAGAATTCTGAGACTCTCTCCAACATACCCCAGACTCTATCTGGTGAGTGTGCTTTGCCCACAGATTGCAAGAAGGCAAGAATTCAAAGACCAAAGTCAAGAAAGGCAGAGTCTTGCACTATCAAGTGTGTCACTACTTGCATCAGAGGAGGTGATGGCTCACCTGGTGAAGGCCCCTTCAATGTCAGAAGGTATATATATAAATATATTACAATCATTTTCCATTGCATTAGCATTATTTTGAGTTACCATTTTGTGTTTTGATGCTGCAGGCCTCTGGTTGTTTTCAAGCAAGGATTCAGAAGTCGTCAATATTGGTACTTGCTCCTCTCTTTTTTTTAGCTTACAAAACATGAGCAAGTTTTTATAGACTTATATGCCCTTCACTTCAGTTGCTTGCTGTCTTTAAATGCTTGGCACTCAACAATACTATTCTCATTAGCATCACTTCAATACATGTAGAGATATTTATTCAAAAACCCATTACAAGCCAAGTTGATGCACAACCATTGAATTTTTCCTTGTATATGCAACATGCTGCTTGATCATTCTTCTGAGATGCCACTGGCCACAGATATATAGTTTTGTTCTTACCCCTAAATGTCACTTTAGAAGCAGAGCTTCTCTTATTTCTGTTTTCTTTCCATTTTGGCATAATAGTTTCCTTGCATTGTTGACATAATATTTATATTTTACTTGAGTTGCAACTCTGAATTCTCAGTTCTGTTTTCTTCAGTCTGATTCTTTGAGAAATTGGATTTCTTGCAGTTTGGTGGAGTGCTCAGATATTTGCAATTTGATTAAGGATGGTGACGATGGGCCTTGATTGATTGAATATATATATATATATATATATATATATAAGATCTTTTTGTAACCAGAAATTGTATAGCCTTCAGTTTGATTTCTTGTAAAGGAAGCAAGAAATGTTCCTTTTATTTTTGGGTTAAGAGTTTAAGCGTTTTACTCAAATCAAATATTGTAAATTTAACCTTATCATGAAACTGCATGTGTAGGTAGTGGAAAGTGTACATTGCTATATATTTTGAGATGTTAAATGGAAATATAAATTAAAAAAAATTAGCATCAACAAAAAAAACAAAAAAACAAAAGGGTTTAGTTTATGTAGCACAGTGTCACGGGATGAGCGACCGGCGCAGCACGGTGGAAGCGAAATACACATTTCGCTCACTCCAAGCACGACCCGTGCGGCCCAGGATCCCTTCAAATCCTAGTCAACCTTATCCCATTTTCATGATATTCATGACTCTCACAACTCCGTGAGAGGTTCACCATCAAGTGTTGTCCCCATGGGCGTCATGCCTCATAGCTAAACAACGAGTCACACTACCTTGTGATAATACAATCACCCCACATCCGGCAATGAACTCTCGACGCC